CACTTTGATAGGCCTGAGGCGGCGGTCACCTGAGGTCAGGAGTTCGAGGGTCCAAACTCGACCAACCATGGCAAAAACCCCGAACCGCGTCTCTAACTAAAATACAAAAGGTTAGCCTGGGATTACAGGCGTGCGCCACCGCGCCCAGCCTTTTAATGATAATTTTATATTAATAATTGTCATTTTTCTTTCTTTCAGGCTTGTAAATTTTATAGTTCCCAGTGGCATGTGGTAAACTACAAATATGAACAATACTCTGGAGACATCCGACAGCTACCCCGGTAAGAACCTGTGATAAGCACTTATTGATCTTTTCCAAATATAGATGATGTCCTCTGTTCTAGTCCTGCCATTGTTTGTGAATACACGTACATTAATCTTCTGTCAAGGCACATTTTCCAAAATGTACACATAAGAGTCAAGATAGGACATTTTGTTCAACATGTGTAGCTTGCATCTTCACAGAGTTTGGATTGACATATAAATATACTCTGATTTAATTTTTAAATGTAGTTTTGACGTTCATTTATCATTGTGTTATTATTTTGTGAGCTGTTTTTTCTATAGCAGGCACAAGAGGATTAGAAAAGTACCCTATGGCCAAATAGTTTTTCTGACAATATAGCATTCATATTTCTTGTTTCATGCATTTGCATGCTGGGATATCAGAAGTCATGAAAATAAACAACTTCCACAAAATATATATATATAAAATATATATATTACATATATATTTTATATGTTTTTTATATTTTATGTTTTTTATATTTTGTTTTTTATTTTTATATATATTTTTACATATATACATATGTACATATGTATATATGTAATATAGATGTAAAATATATATATTTTATATGTAAAATATATATATTTTACATATAAAATATACATTGCATCTATAATATACACACACACACACACACGCATGCATGCACACACACAACCAAAAGGAAAATAAACCCCTAATTTTGTTCCTGAGTCTCAGGAACATAAGCCTTTGGAGAAAGTAATTTTGTTCTGCTTCTGCTCAAATGTCACCTCCGCAGAAAAGCTCACCTGACTACCTGAACAAAAATAGAAATTAATTCAATATCTGTTTCCCCTTCTAAAGTAAAAATCCCCAAAGGGCAGGGACTTTTCCCTGCAGAATACCCTGCAGGCCTGTAACAAGAATGCCTGGTACATAGTAGGTGTGCAGTACTATAATCACTTATTGGACGAATGAACTGAGTAAATGGCAAATTTTAAAATATAATATTCCTGGATAGGATTGGATTTGCTCATATTTAAAGAACTTCCTTGAACTGGTACTACCCAACTCACTGGTTCATCAAGCTAAGATTATGTAAATAATTCAGAAAAACACTTGGAACAATCAAAAGTTAAGCTTTTATTAACACTTTCCTCAAGTGAAGCACTGAGATGATACACATTGGATCTAATTTTTAATAGATGCATGGTACAGAATTGGGAACCACTTTGCTAGATTTCCGGTGGACCCAGAAGCATGCTTTCAAGACTTATATATTTAGAAGCGCTGCTCTCAATTTCTGAATGTGGAATTTGAAAGAGGGATTATGAACTAGATTTAAGAAGGTGGCATTTGATCTTGGATATGAATCAACAGTAGCTGCCAACACGGGCATCTTGGGAAAGGATTCTGGAGAAGCAGCAAGGCAAAGACCCTGAAGTGGTGGGAACCAGTATGGTCACTTGAGCAGAATGAGTCAGGAAGGCCAGAGCTTAAGGATGGAAGGGGCATAGTAAGATGAAACCAAGGACCTTAGGCAAGGGACCCTGTGTGCCCTGGAAAGGAGCTTGGATTTTACTTTCATTCCAACAAAAGCCTTGGGAAATTTCAACCAGCGGTGTGACATGATCTGATTTACCTCTTTGAAAGAACTATTGGGCTACTCTGTGGAGAATGGGACTGCAGGGGTGGCAATTGAAGAAAAAGACAGGAGGAGGCCATTTCTTTTGGGGTTTCATTACCGTGAAGACAAAAATATTATGTCCCTTCTAAACTGCAAATCTTTTTTCAAAACACTGAACAGTAACGTTTACCAGATCTTTGAGCATTCTTTTAGACTTGAGTCACTGCTGATAGACAAGCTCTCGCAACTTCATGTTGGGAAGGTTCACCACACCCTGAGCTTTCATGAGTAATTGTTACATTCAGAACGTCCGGGTGTTCATGACACACTTTTTGTAGGCACAACTGAAAAGCAAAGCATCCTTTAACATCAGGACTTCCTCTTTCTGAAAATAGTTCTGAGAAGTGGTTACAACTCGGAAGCTGTGTCTAAGAAGCTGGGAGACTGCATCTCAAGTTGAGAGGATGGAGACAGCAGTGTTTAGCCGTCCTGTTAACTAAATGTATTCCCCACCGTCTTTAGGTCCATTACAGTCTTCAGTGTCTGTATCCCCAAACACTATTCATCTTTCCTTATATTCATGATGCTATAAAGAAAGCAAATTAGAGATTTCACATTCACAGTATTCTTCCTCTGTTAAAACAATAAAGTATCTCGAGAAAGAACCAGTCCTGGACATTATTGCTAAATTGCGATTCTCATAGTTTGCAAGATTAATCTCATGAGAAGAAATTTTAAAAATTAACTGAAATAGTGTTGAGAATTTCCCTTACTTTAACTAAAGAAAGTGGAAGTTGATACCAAGAAAGGGAAGAATCAGACTGCCACAAAGTAAGAAACTTTACGTATTCAAACTGAAAATCAGAAGTTCTAAAATATAACCCTTTCAGATATACCCCAGAACAATGAAGATGAGCACTGAACAGCAGAATTATTCTTTAAAATGATTTTACAAAGCTAAGCATTCCCCTCTAAAGACTACCTGTATTTAGGTCAGTAATGGAAACAGACAATTTACTTGGGTCTTCTGAGGCTAATAGAAGTAAATCATTTTCATACCTCCTGGATGAGAAGAATTCTCCTATGTCTGCTACCAATTTAAATTGCTTATTTCTTTTTATGAGTTGCTGAGACTGCAAAATGAAAATCTGCAATTATAGAAAAGCAAAAAAATCGGTGAAATTTATTCTTTAAATTTAAATGTGTATTATTGACCCGTAAGATTTTCACTTTTTTAATTTTTAAGCGAGGGTCCATAGGAAGATACTGAAGAGATGGATGATTTCAGGCTAGAATGGAAAATGTAAGCCTTTACACACTAGCAATAGAAATCAGCACTGAACTTGGAGATCCCAGAAGAAAAAAGCAGCATAAAAATATATGATGCCATGGATTTCGTTAATCCACTGGGTAAAATACAGAGATGTGTGACATATTACAAATTTTTACCATGGTCGATTTGATAGAAAGAAGATGTAAGGAAGAAAAATTCGTAAGAGTATGAATTGTGACTAAAGATCAAATAAAGTGTGACCAGCTTAGCTGGGCTGAAATAGAACAGATTTTTTTTTTTTTTTTTTTAATAAAAGAGCATTTTCTTGAGTGTCTACAGTGAGCCAGAATGTGCTGGGTGTCATACATGCATTATCTCATTTAACACTCATAACCCTATGGAATAGGAACTGTTATCCCCATTTTATAGCAGAAACTAGGAAACTGAGAGGGAAAATACCCCAAACTGAGAGGGAATTTTAACTGATGGGGCACTCAGGCATCCCCACACTGGGCAATCCAGGTCATTTGGGTGGAGAAAGGGGAAATGAGGCTGCCTACAGTTACTACCAATGTTGGATGCAAACACCAAAGGGTAAGGTCTGGGATGAGCCCTTTATCTTGGGGTCCCCGAGGCTCTTAAAGATCACACAGTGGTCCTGGGGGAAGAATTTTAAAATCAATAGCCACAGGTGCTAATCTTTTCATGACCTTTGAAAGAGAAAAGTCATTGCATAGTAGCCCCACAGACATCTGACTGAGCGTGAAGATGGCTCTTGAAAGGCAGAAGGCTGTGCCTTGTGGATTTTTAAAAACTAGATTGGGAAATAAGAATCTTCAGTAGCCCTCAAGCCTCAGCAATGATCCAAGCACTGTCTGCCTTCCCTGCCCAGGGGCATTGGACAGGCCTCCCTCCCGCAGCCCTCCCTCCTGCACTGTTTCCAGCCCCTACAGCCTTCCTTCTGGATGCTCCATGCTTGGCCCCTCCTCAGAACCTGTACTCTTGCAGCTCCCTCTGCCAGGGGATTTTCTCCTAGGTCATCACACAATCAGCTGCTTCTCCTCCTCAGTTTAAATGTTACCTCCCAAGAAAGGCCATCCTTGAAGAGTCTTTCTACACTTGGCCTTTGCCATTTCCATAAGGATCACTCTTTGCTCTTCTCCTCTTTCTCCTCTTTGATTTTTTTCTTTTCTTTCTTTCTTTCTTTTTTTTTTTTTTTTTTTTTTGAGACAGGGTCTCACTTTGTCCCCAGGCTGGAATGCAGTGGTGGCACAATCTCAGCTCACTGCAACCTCCACCTCCCAGATTCAAAGGATCCTCCTGCCTCAGCCTCCCAAGTAGCTGGGATTACAGGTGTGCGCCACCATGCCTGGCTAATTTTTTTGTGTTTTTAGTGGAGACAGGGTTTCACTATGTTGGCCAGGCCAGTCTTTAACTCCTGACCTCATGTGACCCACCAGCTTCAGCCTCCCAAAGTGCTGGGATTACAGCCGTGAGCTGCTGCACACAGCCTTGATTTTCTTAACAACCATTTTCACTCAGAGAAATTATCTTATTTATGCTTAATTCATGATTGACTCTCTAGTCCCCTAGAATGCAAACTTCCTCGGTTCAGGAACTTACTTTCTGATATGCGGTTGACATTATTGTAGCTCTTCTGGATGCCAGGTAATATCTGGAAACTGGAA